CCCGCCCACTTGGGAGCTAGTAGAGATGAGATGCTGTGGCCAGGGTCACGTGCGGAGTCAGGTGGTGAGGACAGTGATGGCAGTAAGAAGGCCGGGGTCACGTGCGGAAGTCAGGTGGTGAGGACAGTGATGGTAGTAAGAATCTCTGCCAAGAACACACGTCATTGGTGTCACTGAGTCTCACACAGGGAACACTAATTCATCCCGGCACTCTTTGGAAGCCTTGTTAGCCTCTGCTGGCTAAACCCAGTGGCCATTGCTATGTGTTCTTGTCATGTGCTGGGCCACATTCGATAACTCTGCTCCTGCCACCTTGATACACAGATAGGCATTTGCCAGCAGTGTCGGTCCATGCTTCCGGGGCCGTCCTACCTGGGGTCTCCCGTTACTCCCCAGGTCAGGTCCTGACTGCTGGGTTCATCTTAACAACAGTTCCATTGGTTGAAGGCTGGGTGGGAGTCAGGCCAGCGCAGTTGCTTCCCTTGTCTCTCTTGCTTCCCTTGTGGGTGGAGGCTCAAGGTGAAGACGGGATAGCCACATCACCATGACTCTTGTTACCATGCTGGAGCCTAGAGCTGCAGCACCCAGGCCAGTTAAGGTGCCCCAAATAGTTTCTAGAGAGGATGTATCTGGGAGACTGTAGTGTAGTCAAGGGCTTTGGAAATGACTCTGGGTGGTACCCTAGATAGGCTGTGGAGCCAAAGTGCCACAACGCAAGTTACTTGGTTAGGACGTGTTACCCTCAGTGGAGTGGGTACTGGCACTGGCAACAGGGAGCACACTGGCCCCCTTTGGTTCCCTCCTCTAGGTCAAGGGTGCAGGGAAGGTTGAAGGGATGGCAGAAGTGGCTGCCACTCCACAGATAAGAGGCTGTCGGTCCCCAGGGGCCCTGGTGCTCCGTCGGGGTTCTGTTGGTTTGGTAGCTGTCTGCCTGGCTGAGCAGTTCACTTGAGAGCTCTGGGTATGCTGGGAGCTTCCTGAAGCCCCCTCTGCCCTGGGGGTGGGGTGGGGTACGAGGACAGTTCAGTTTTGCCGTGCGGCAGAAGGGCCCTGCAAACCCTTGGCCTGGAAGGAAGTGTGTGTGGTGATTTTTTTTTTTTTTTTGTGCCTTTGAGCTTTACACCAGTTTCAATTAATCAAGCGCTGGAGGGAGAGAGTTCTAATCCATTCCCTGCCCAGCTAAGATTTGATGCTCTGTCCACCATCTCATAAAAACAAGAAAACGGAAAGCAGCATGGCCTGGAAGCCATGATTCAATCTTTTGTATTTCCCCCCCCCCCCCC